ACATGGCTGAGCAAACGTGGCTACTACGGTCTGTCAATTTTACAGACAGAACTGCATTTCACTCATTGCATCCCTGCCATGTTGCTGTGTTTACAGAAGAATCCTTGTTTGCACACTGAGCGATTTGCCCACGACGGTCGGGAGAAAATCTTGAAATGTTTGACCTCACGATTCCTGATCAGGAGGTGGTCGTGAGTGGCTGATTACCCCGTTACCCCCTGTACACTACACGACGGGCTGAAAGTCGGCCCGATCGAAAGATTCTCGCATGACTGGAAAATCGCCCCGAAAATAGCACAGTGTACGCCCGGCTTTAGCAAGATTGGTATATTGAACTTTATGGGGAGATCCAGTGGATTGCGTGAGCTGATACTAGAGCTTCACTCAGGGACCTGGAAGATGGAAGTCCAGTAGGATAACACAGGTTGAGAGAACCTTTCCATTATGAGCAAGCATGAAGCGACAGTGGAGAGGAAAAACTCCCTGTTAGGAAGAAACCGTTTGCAGAACCACGCTCAACATGGCGGTCTTTTGCCAGACCCGGTTAAGATGAGAAAGGGAACGCAGTAAGAGTCTGTGAGGAATGACACACTGATGAAGCTTTAGGCTGGAGGTGGGTTGAAACAGTGTCATCTGAATGAAGTCACACAGCGCATCCTCAGCCTGCGCACAGGAGCAGACGAGTACGTATCGGAGGCCTTTTAAGATGAACTTTGGATGCCAATGTCTTTCGTGGAGTTGTGGTTCAAAGCTGATCGGCTGCGTCACAGGTGGATGTAGGACAGCATTGAGTTTCTTCAGTTAAACTTCCGCCATGGCTCAATTTTCATGAGCATGACACATAATAATATGCTCCCCTGGCGCCACACAATGGCAACCCACTGCTTTCCAAGGGGATGGGTTAATGCAGAGGTAAATTTCTCCAATGTGAGATCAATAAAGTTAAATTATTATTATTATTAGTAGTAGTAGTAGTACATAAATCTTGCCCTTCTGATGCTTTGTGAAGGCAGATCTGTATTTTGCATGGTCCAATAAAAAAATGATGTACCAGTTTAATAATGGAGAAGTTATTAGTCAGCTTTATATTCTTTTTAATACATAAAAACTATTTATTTTCTGAGAATGTGTTTATTTAAGAGCAACTGGGCAAATTAACAAACATTTTGAAACACTATATTATATTATTTTCAATGTGAATCCCAGATTGTTCATGCTTCTTTGCCTTTTCTAAAACATGCTTTAAGTCAGTCCTACCTTTCGTTATCTATGCTGGGTCAGATCCTGACATTTGAAAAAGGAAGCAGGCATCCAAGGCAGCAGAATAAAGCTTTAGCCTCGCTGCATGCAGTTAGCCCAGTCTTGTAGCTAAACCAGGTCCTGGAAAAAGACAGCGTGTACCGTCTTAATCTGTCTTTGGACAGATGATTAATTTTGATGTTAGGCTGATCAGGTCCAAATGGTGTCACCTCCAGCATCTCTTGCTAAGTTTGATTCCCTCCCATGAAAAATGAAATTACGTTTTACTCTTCATTGAAGATTAAATATTTATGTTGCACATCTAAAAATATATATCAATATATTTCAAAAGCGCCACTGGAAGTGCACTGGATTGGCATAAAAATGGAAAATCATCTTTGACCGTCAGATATCCTGGTAACTCTTATAATATCCCTAACATTATAAGAAGTTTT